CGGGCCCCTCCTCTCCCGCCGCTCCCGGCCCCGCTCCACCCCGGAGCCGGATGGCGGCGGCCGCGCGGAGGAAGCCGGCTCAGGTCAGTGCTCGTGCTCCGCGCCCTCCCCGCCCTCAGCCCGGCCCAGCCCTAGAGCCCCGAGTGCGGGCGCCGCTCACGGGCCTGCAGCCCAAGCCCCGGTGTCCGGGACGGGAAGGCGCTCGTGGAGCCTGTTTCTGAGAACCGGGGTGACGGGTGTGGGAGAGGGTTGCAGGGGAGGGCTCGGCGGGGGGTAAAGCCGTGCAGGGGCAGCTGAGCCGGAGGATTAGGGAAAACCAGGCTCTTGTTTCTGTCCACAGGCGACAGAGAATGTGAGGTTAAGTTGTGCTTGAGGAGTTTTACCTTCATTGTCAGGACGCTGGGAGCCACAGAGGGTTGTGAACAAAAGAGGGCCACTGCCTGAGATACGGTTCTGAAGGTTTTCCAAAAGCTGGTCTGGGGGAAGCACAGATCGGAGGAGAGATGCTAATAGTTAGGCACGCGAAGGTTGAGTCCTGTAGAGGATTGCGTAACTGGAGGAGTGTACTCAGGACTGAGGCCATAGGGAATGCAGGCCTCTTGACATCACCTGGCTCCTGGGCTGCGTAGCGGTACTTATCGGCCTGAGCCCGTGGGATCCTGGCCGTGGTTGCCAGACTCGCAGATGACCTTTCCCTTTCCACCGATTCCCCAGAACTGCAGAATGGCATAGGGATACTGGTGTGTGTCCTTTATTGCAGGTCCTCCCTAGTCCTCACCCATCCTACCCACATAATCTCTGGGATAATGGTGTTCTGGGACTGTTCTGCCACTCTTCCAGCCCTTGGGCCTGGGGACCTTGAACAGGCACCAAACCCAGAGTCCTAAGTCCATGCATAAGATTCTTTGGAGTGGTTCCTGTTTTTGGCAATCAGAAAAAGCTGTGGAAGCTTGCCCTAGGCATGGGTACAAGAATGTACAAAGACTTGGAGGGAAGGCTGAACTGAATTAGGGACCTACAGGTATCCTACTTTCTCATGGGAACTGGGAGCAGTAAGGTAGGAGTCAGGTCTGGAACAGCTCTGTGAGAAGTTGGGTGTCTCTTCTGGAGGTGGTGGGAGCAGGGGAGATATGGAGCGGTTAAGGCAGGTGATCTGACCCTGGTCGCATTAGGCTCCCTGTAGCTGCAGCATGAACAGTATGGGTGTGAGGTGGGTGGTAGGAAGATGAGTGTTGGAGTACTACTGCAATAGTCTGGGTGAGTGTAATGGTAGCTGGATCAGGGTGGTGGCTGTGGGGTGGTTAATCATGGTTGGGTTCTGCATCAATGTCTTGGGTATGGTTGCCTGCATTTTCTAATTTTGAGGTTGAGAGAAAGAGAGAGAGGAATTAGGGATAACTTGAAGGTTTGCTTTTAGCAGCTGGAAGGATGGTACATCCATCAACTAAAATGGGGAAGTCCATAGTAAGTAATTGTCAATGGAGATATCAGAAGGATTTTTTTTTTTCCCAGGCTACTTTTTTTTGAGGAAGATTCGCCCTGAGCTAGCCACTGTTGGCAATCTTCCTCCTTTTTTCTCCCCAGAGCCCCAGTAGATAGTTGTGTGTCATAGTTGTACATCCTTCTAGTTGCCGTATGTAGGATGCTGCCTCAGCATGGCTCCATGAACAGTATGTAGGTTCACACCTAGGATCTGAAGTGGAGCACACGAACTCAACCGCTACACCACTGGGCTGGACCCAGAAGTTTTTTTTTTTTTTTTTGGTGAAGATCAGCCCTGAGCTAACATCTGCCAATCCTCCTCATTTTGCTGGGGAAGACTGGCCCCTGGCTAACATCCATGCCCATCTTCCTCTACTTTATATGGGACGCTGCCACAGCATGGCTTGACAAACGGTGCATCAGTGCACGCCCAGGATCCGAACCGGCGCACTTAACTGCTTGCATCACTGGGCCGGCCCCCTGGACCCAGAAGTTTTTTTATGGCTTGCTAAGGGTATGAGATGTTTCAGAAAACGGTTTGTGGGCATCTGGAACTCTGAGGAGGAGTTCAGGATTTTTTTAAAAATTATTTATTTATTAATTATTATTTTTTTGGTGAGGAAGATTAGCTCTGAGCCAACATCTGTTGCCAATTCTCCTCTTGTTGCTGAGGAAGATTGGCCCTGGGCTAACATCCATGCCCATCTTCCTCCACCTCATATGTGGGACATCTACCACAGCACGGCCTGATAAGTGGTACGCAGGTCCGCGCCCAGTATCCGAACCTGCAAACCCCGGGCCGCCGAAGCGGAGCATGCGAACTTAACCACTAGGCCGCTGGGCTGGCCCCAGGAGTTCAGGATTTAGACTTCTGCAAAAGGTAGTAGAGAGTATGTGGACCAGGGAGGAGCTGTAGGTTGCTTTAATATGGGGGATCCTGGTCAGGATGATAATGGTAATAGTAGCCCAGGAAGAAGAGGGTGGGCCTACTTGTAGCCGTGGTTGTGGGTGTCACAACACAGAGAGAGGGTTGGGGAGAGCATATGGTTTGGTATGTGGCCAAGGCCTTTGAGGAATGAGTGGAATGGAGATGGGTGCTGGAGGCATAGGAGGAATTGAAATAAGATGACACTGAGGCTGAGACTGGTGCTTATTCACTGCTCTACAGATTCACGAGGACGTTGCTGTGACCCTTGGTGGAGCCTGGGTGTTCCAGTAGGCTGGTGGATTCATTTATGGGCACAAGTGGTCATCCGTGAGACTCCCTGGGGATGGTGTAAAGGGCCACTGGGGCTGGGCCTTGAATGAGGGTTAGGTGGAGACAGGAAAGCTGTGACTGGTGAGGGTACATCAAGTGAAGGAGGGCCATGGGTATCTGAAATCTGATGTGGTTGTCAGTAGGTGAGGTTGAAGCAAAGAACAGTCAGAGAGAGAGGCCTTCATAGCAGGACTCAAGGTTGCCTCTGTCAGTGGGGACCATGAGAGTCTGGGGTAGTACTTGATCCTCATTGAATGTGCCAAGCATTCTCTGGACCACGTATGCTAAGTAAGGAGAGGTCAAGGAGATGACTGTGGTGAAGGGCAGGAGGTGACTGCGGCTGTGGGAGTGCAGTTATGAGAGAGAGGTGTAGTAGAAAGAGTGATGTGCACATGGAGAGGGAATGTGAACTCATGGTCCCAGAGTCCTGGTGTAGGCCTAAGAGTGAAGGCTGAGCCCATGTTTGGTGGGGTCTGGGAGAAACGAATGATCTGTGGACTCTCAGGGGAGTTGCCTGAAGAAGGGGGTCTGGGGCCCTACAAGTTAGCCCCAGAGCTTAAATGCCATCTACCTGTCTCCCTGCCTGTTGTTGAGGGCTGACACAGTGATCAATAGGACCATGATGAGACAGTGGGCATCAGTGCCCACTGAGCTTGGAAATCTTCACTGATGTAGGGAAGAGAGGAGGGTAAGCAGGGAATAGATTAGGGAGGTGTTGATATTAGGATCCTTGGAAAGAGATGATCATGAAACAAATTGTCTCCATCATGGTAGGGTTGTGTGACCTTTGAAGTTGTGCCTGTGGGAATGCAGCTGTGGGAGAGAAGTGTGGTTCAAAGAATGATGCGCACATGAAGAGGTAGTGTGAGCTGATGTCCCCAGGTCCCTCGAATTGGGGTCATAAGGGTGAAGGGTGATGCCATGTTTTTTGTGTCTTGGAGGGACGATCTGGGAGACCTCACAGGTAGTACCTAACAAAACCAGTGTCAGATCACTCTCACCTTCCATATAGCCAGCTTCTCTCCCTAACCCATGTTCGCAACACCCATCACATTGTCAAGAGGCAGTGTGGCCTACATGTCAGGCCCAGAGCTCAGATATCATCAGTCTGCCCATCTGCCTATTGTTGCTGTGGGAGGACATGGTACCAGTGGGAATATAAGGAGAGAGTGGCTCCAATGGCATGGAGGTCTGGTATCTTCTGAGGTGGGGAGTACAGTGAGCAAAGGATGGATGTGGAGGGTGGGGGATATGATGAACTGGGAATCCTAGGAGAGAAGCTGATCATGGAATGAACTTTCCCCCTTATGACAGGGTATGGACTTTGGGGATGTGGCCAGTCACTTCTCCCAGGAGGAGTGGAGGCTCCTTGATGAGGCTCAGAGATTCCTGTTCTGCGATGTGATGCGGGAGAACTTTGCTCTTGTAGCATCTGTGGGTAAGACCTTCACATCCCTCCTGGTGCCCTGAGGTGATGTCCTGCCTTTCGGTTTTCCCCAGCGTTAGTTCTGTCTTTCTGACATCTGAACTGTGGGCTCTGCTGCTTTCCTCCACTTTCTTGTCATATATGCTGTGTGTGCCAGCATGGAACTGTGTGTTATGCCCTGAACAATCGACTCCCCAAGCAGTCCTAACACTTGTGGCATCAAAAAGTGCAGGGAAGGGTCTGAGTGTCAGGAGTCTTACAGTCAGCTTAGTGGATTCCTCCTTGCTTGCCTTCTCCCTGGCAGGGTGACTACATCTAGATCCATGGCGTCCAGTTTTCCACCTTTCTCAGGCTATGTCTTCTTTGTGACTGCCTTGGCCAGGTCATGGTCGTTACTGCCATGAACCATGAACAGTTCTTCAGTTGTCTTTTGTTATATTTTCTTTTCTTTGTTTTTTTTGGTTGAAGAAGATAGTCCCTGAGCTAACATGTTGCCAATGTTCCTCTTTTTGCTTGAGGAAGATTGTCCCTGAGCTAACATCTGTGCTATCTTCCTCTATTTTCTATATGGGATGCCAGCATGGCATGGCATGATAGGTGGTGCATAGGTCAGCTTCTGGGATCTGAACCCATGAACCCTGGGCTGCCGAAGTGGGGCAGGTGGACTTAACCATTACACCACTGGGCCAGCCCCAATATTTTCTTTTCTGAATACTATTGTGTGCCAAGTGGCTCTGGGCCAGTCCTGATCACTCACCTATGCTGTCTTTCATTAAGACATATCATTTAGGTTGTGAGTAGTTCCACAATGGAGGGTATAGGGATAACCCTGGTTGCTTCACAGGGTAAGCATGGCAAAATGATTTCAGAGGAAGCCTGGCTCTGTTGAGTGGAAACTAGGGGAGGACATGACATCAGGGCTGTGTTCACATCATGCCAGGAACCTGCCATGTGTCCAATAGTGTTTTGGTGCAGTGTCACTGGCCATACCTCATTTCTACCTCTTCTTCCCCTTACGTGACACTTTGCTCACTTGTCATTTCGACTTGGCTTTTCGCCACCTCCAACTTCGAGGCCTCTGTGTATCACCTGTTCCTCTGCAGTATTCTCCAGCATTGACCTGCACTTGTGTCATGAAGTGTGCACATATTCCTAAATAGTCGTTGAACACCATTTACTCAGTTACAATTGAATTTTATTGGGACAGGACACAACTAGCCTTCCACACAGTGTGCCCATGTCACCAGCAGACCAGGTCCTGCTGAAGGCTATTGGCAGAGGAGTGATTTGGAGACTCTGTGTGTCCTCCATGTGGTGTACCCCATCCTTGTGTCTTTTGTCTGGTGAGATATTTCCTATTCTGCGATCCTCAGAGACCTGGTACTGCTAAGCAACCCTTCTTCCTGCCCCCAAGTCCCTTGTTTTCAGAACAATCCCTTGGACCCAACTTGTTGTGTCTGACACAACTTTGTAATGGGGCTTTCCACACCCACTGAAGTTAACTTAACATTTTCTCAACATTTCTGTGCTTTCAGGTTGTTGGCATGCAGCAGAAGATGAGGAGGCCCCTTCTGAGCAGAGTGTACCTGTAGGAGAGTCACTGGTCAGGGCTTCTAAGGCAGGTCCATCCACCAGAAGACCCATTCCTGTGAGATGTGTATCCTAGTCTTGAAAGATATTTTGCCCCAAGCTGAGCACCAAATAATATACTCTTTGCGGAAACCATACTTGGATTGCACATGTTTGAGATGTTTTTGTTTCACTGCAAACCTTCACCAGCAACAGAGGCAAGGCAGTGAAGAAAAGCCTTGGAAAAGAGTTGTGCATAGGGCCTCATTTGTGATGAGCTGCAGCCTTTATATGTCAGGGGAACCTCTCACCTGTAGGGAGGTTTGAGTGGACTTCCTGGCCACTTCTGGCCTTTTCCCGCACCAGGCCACTCCCAACAGTGAGGAGCCACACAGTGACAATGAGAGTGGGCAGGCCTGTCACAGTGGGAAAAGTCATTACAAGTGGGGTGAACGTGAAGACTCTGCCAGCCACAACCACACACTTGTACAACATCAGAGTATCTCCTCTGGAGAAGAGCTTTATGAGTGTGGTAAATATGGGAAAGCCTTCAGCTGCAACTACAGATTTGTTCAGCACCAGCAAGTTCACACTGGATGAAGTCCATGTCACTGTGGTGAATGTGGAAAATTCTTGAACAAAATCTCTGACCGTATTAAACATCAGAGAATTTGCACTGGGGAAAGGACTTATGAATGCAGTGAATGTGGAAAAGTCTTTATCCACAAATCCAAACTCATTCACCACCAGAGACAATACCACACTGGAGGAAAGCAGTATAACTGTGGCCAATGTGGGAAATCCTTTCCCCACAAATCTTACGTCATTCAACACCAGAGAATTCATACTGGCACAAGTCCTTGAGTGCGGTGAATGTGGGAAATCCTTTAGCTTCAAATCCTCCCTCATTCAACGCCGGAGAGTTCACAGTGGAGAAAGACCTTGTGAATGTAGTGAATGTGGCAAGTCTTTTAGCCGTAAATCTGACCTCTGTAAACACCAGAGAGTTCACACTGGAGAGAGGCCTTATGAGTGCAGTGAATGTGGCAAGTTCTTTAGTCAAAGCTCTGGCCTTTTCCAACACCAGAGAGTTCATACTGGAGAGAGACCTTATGAATGCACTGAATGTGGCAAATGGTTTAGACAATGCTTTAGCCTTATTCAACACCAGAGAGTTCACAATGAAGAAAGACCTTATGAGTGCAGTGAATGTGGGAAGTCCTTTAGCCGACGCTCCACTCTTAATGAACACCAGAGAGTTCATTCTGGAGAAAAGCTTTATGAGTGTGGGGAAGGTAGGAAGTCCTTTAAACAAAGCTCTAGCCTTTGCCAACACCAGAGAGTTCACACTGGAAAAAGACCTTACGAGTGTACTGAATGTGGGAAATCCTCTATCTGCAAATGTTACGTCATTCAACACCACAGAATTCATACTGACTCAAGACCATGTGAGTGGGGTGAATGTGGGAAATCCTTTAGATAATACTCTGTTCTTGTTCATCACTTGAAAGTTCATTCTGGAGAAAAGCCTTATGAGTGCACTGAATGTGGGAAATCTTTCAGATGATGCTTCGGCCTTATTCAACATGAGAGAATTCATTCTGGGGAAAAATCTTATGAGTGTAGGGAATGTGGGAAGTCCTTTAGACAAAGCTCTACCCTTTTCCAGCACTGGAGGGTGCGCACTGGAGAAATACCTTATGAGTGTACTGAATGTGGGAAATCCTTTACCCACAAATCTATCCTCATTCACCACCAGAGAATTCATACTGGTACAAGACCTTATGAATGCGGGAGAAAAGCCTTATGAGTCTGGGGAATGTGGGAAATCCTTTAGTCAAAGCTTGAACCTCAGTCAACATCAGAGAGGTCACTCTGGTGAAAGGCCTTGTGAGTGCAGTGAATGTGGGAAGACTTGTACTTAAAAATCTCACCTCATTGAACAGCAGAGAGTTCACACTGGAAGACTTTATGAGTGTAGTGAATGAGGGAAATTGTTAGCCAAAAATCTAACTTGCTTAGACACTGGAGAGTTCACAATGGAGAGAGGCCTAATGAGTGCAGTTCATGTAGGAAATCCTTTACCTTCAAATGTGACCTCTTTAGACACCAGCAAGTTGATAGTGACACAAGATTTTATAAATGTGGGGAATGTGGGAAATCTTTTGTCAAAGTGCTAGCCTCAATTGACACCAGAGAGGTCACACTGTAAAAGGCCTTATGAGTGCAGTGAATGTTGGAAACCTTTTACCCAGAAATCGGATCTTTAGTCACCAGGCAGTTCACACTTGAGAAAAGCCTGAAATGTGTCAGGAATGTTTTCTTTTTTCACTCAGTGTGATAACACTGGAGGGGATTCTGTGTGAGAGACATTTAACTGAACATAAAACTCTTTTGTCCGAACACAGACTATACGAGATTGTTCAGAAGTTTCAGGTATGTGGGAGGCTTTAAGGAGATGCAATGCACTATGTAACCTGCTGAGGACTATTGCCAGATGTACATCACTGCAGTTTCTGTGGCTAAAGCCATTTCATCTCTACTATCTGGCACATCTGCACAGTGTACATCAGTAATCACCCCAGTGTGCTCAGAAAAGCTGACTTCTGTGTTGTCCCATTTCTTTGAGGAAATTATGAATAGCCCAAGCCCTTCACAGAGTCCTCATTCGTTTTTCTCTGGCTTTAGGGAATGGACCTGACCCAGTTTCGGTCCAGAGGACCCATCCTCAGCTTGCTATGAAGGCCACCTTTTTCAGTGACATTGTTGTTCTCATGTCATGCTTGTGATGTACTCCTCCAAATTCTAATTCTCCAATCTGGAAACTGCTTGCTGCACATCGTTCTGGTTTATGTTCTTTTTGTAAAGGTATTTTTGTCTTTGCCCCTTTAATTTCATGGTTCTGTTCACTGTGTGGGGTGATTTGAAAGCAAAATTGTGATTTGTCAGCATGTTGGGGTGACCAGATTTTGTGGGGATCCCAAACTTTCTGTCCTTCAGAAGGGACAGTATGATGGCAGAAATAGCTCTTTGTCCAACATTGTTCTAATTTGCATTGCTGCCCAGGGCCTCAAAAGAAAGACTGCAGGGTTTTGTGGTCCTAATTTGTGGTCTGGTGCCACAATTTTTTGGGAGGCCAGAGGTCACCCTGAAGGGGAGACCTTTGTTATGACAACCCTTTGTGCTTCTGTGAACAGCAGGAATTTTATTCCTTTGTTCATAGTGTCTATTACATAGTTCCCAGCATGTTGAGGGGACCTCTTCCCCAGGTCCTGCAAAGGAGCCCTGTGCTATAATGTACAAAATTTCACAGGGTAGTGTCATTTGTTGTAAGACTGTAAGGGTCAGGTGGAAATGTAATTGCTACAGAAACACTGGATTAATAGGGAGTGGAGAAGATTGTAGTAAATTGGATGCAATATGTCTCTTCTAAAAGTTTATAAACATACCCATATTGGAATGTGTGATCAATGTGTACAAAAGTCTTCAGGACCTTTGTAGCTGTATTTCCTGTAGCTGAGTTCATTGAGAGAGAAAATGATCTAATGTTCGGTGGATTCCCACACTTCTCTGGTCTGTTCACCTCTGGGCCATTGCTCTATAGGCAGAAAAACAAGGACAGAGAGAAAAGTGATCCAGTTGTCCAAGGATGTGTCCTTTGTGATGCAGCCAGCATTCCTGTTGATTCAGGTGACAGCAGTCTTTATTGCTTGCTGATATTTGCTGCCACTGAGGCAAGGCTGCCTCTCTGGGGGTGTGAGGAGAGAGATGGTGGGGTCCATGTAGGGTTGCCAACCTTATGTTCTAGGAAAAGAGAGACACCTAGGCTTTCATTTTTAGAACTTAGTTAAGGTATAATTTGTATAATTGACAGGCAGGCAAGTGTACTTACCTAATGTGTACATTTGCTAAGTTTTGATGTACATATACAGCTGTGAAACCATTGTCATACTCGTGAAAATGAACTTATCTGTCACCCACATATTTACCTTGTGGGTGCCTTCCCCAGCTCTCCAGGTGATCATTGATTTACTTTCCTTTACAGTAGATTAGTTTTCCCATGATTTAAAATAGGTATCATAGGAGTGATGTCAGCATCATGGCAGAGTGAGCTTCCCCCATTGAACTCTCCCCCTCTAAGACACAACAAAAAGGACATTCATATTCCGACAGAAGCTAGTCACACAACACAGGGGACGTCTGAGGCACCCAGGCAGCTGTACACCTGAGGACGGAGGTGCTGGAATCCCCAAAGTAAGTGGAAGGAGGTAAGAGGAACTCCCTTCCTTTCCCAAGAACCGTGACCCAGAGAGTGAGACCATGCAGCTCTCGGGGCGGGGGGGGTGAGGGGCAGCTTGCTGCATGGAAACCAGCATTCTCCAAGACTGCTAACAGCCCATAGGGATCTCCCTATGGAGGGAGCAGTACTGTTGTGAGGGTACTTGTAACAAGCTAGCCCCTCAGGAGAGCAGAGAGACAGAGCAAGGCAAGAAACCTCTGAGATTGGGGAGGCGAAAGTAAGCTCCCTTCCCCCACCCTGCCTGCCTGACCAGTGCTTCAGCACAGCAGCACTTGTGCTCAGCCCCATCCCCAGATGCAGCAGCCCCCGGGCACATGGGCCCCACCAGTAGTGGGGTGAGCCAGCTCCTCCTTTGACCCAGAGCACTCCAGCTCCAGCTTCTTTGGCCCAGTGGCACTCCAGCTCCTGCTTCTTTGGCCCAGCGGTACTTCAGCTGCAGCTGCTTCAACCCACCGGCACCCGAACCCAAGTTGCTTCAGCCTAGCTGAGCTCCAGTCCCAGCTGTTACCCTGCTCCAGCTCCAGCTGTTCCCACGCTTCAGCCCCAGCAGCCTTGGCTTAGCCACGCTTCACATCAGCCGGAGGCTAACAAGTGTGCCTGTGGATGAGGCGGGCCAGAATACACAGCCCTTGACCCCCGCCTGGTGGCAGCAAGAGGAAACTGTGACCATATATTTTCACTATGAGAAAAAGTAAGCCAACACCGACAGGCACTATGCGAAAATATATTAAATATCTGGACCAAAAGGAAAATGACAAGCATCCAGAAGTCAACCCAGAAAGCACAGAAATGTATAACCTTAGTGACAGAGAATGTAAAGTAGTCATAAAAAATCTTGATGAAATATAAGAAAACAGACAATTCAATGAAATCAGGAGTTTCTTCACAAAAGAGAAAACCATAAAAAAAAAAACCCAATCATAAATCTTAGATAAAAAACACAATAGAGGAGATAAAGACAAATCTGGAAGCCTTAAGCATCAGAGCTGACAATATGGAGGAAAGAATTAGCAATATTGAGGACAACAATGCTCCAGATGGAGGAGGAAAGAGAATTAAGACTAAAAAGAAATGAAGAAACTCGCCAAGAAATAGCTGACTCAATTAGAGAATACAACATAAGGATTATAGGTATTCCAGAGAGAGAAGAGAGGGAAAAAGGAGCAGAGAACTTTCCCTGAGAGGGAAACTCATAGCAATACAGGCCCACCTTAACAAACAAGAAAAAGCCCAAATAAGCAACCTCAAATTATGCCTAACAGAATTTGAAAAAGAACAAAGCCTAAAGTCAACAGAAGGAGAGAAAGAATAAAAATCAGAAATAAATGAAACTGAAATTAAAAAAAAAAAAAGTAGAAAGGATCAATGAACCAAAGAGCTGGTTCTTTGAGAAGATAAACAAAATTGACAAACCCTTAGCCAGACTCACCAAGAAAAAAAGAAGGCTCAAATAAATAAAATTAGAAATGAAAGAGGAGAAACTACAACAGATACCACAGAAATACAAAAGATTATAAGAGAATACTATGAAAAACTATATGCCAATGAATTGGGTAATGTAGAAGAAATGGATAAATTCTTAGACTCATACAACCTCCCAAAACTGAATCAAGAATAAATAGAGAATCTGAATAGACCTATCACAAGTAAAGAGATTGAAACAGTAATCAAAAACCTCCCAAAAAAGAAAAGTCCAGGACCAGATGGCTTCTCTGGAGAATTTTACCAAACATTCAAAGAAGACTTAATACCTATCATTCTCAAACTATTCCAAAAAATAGAGGAAGATGGAACACTTCCCAACACGTTCTATGAGGCCAACATTACCCTGATACCAAAGACAAAGACAATACTAAGAAGGAAAACTACAGACCAATATCCCTGATGAACATAAATCCAAAAATCCTCAACAAAATATTGGCAAACCGAATACAGCAATACATTAAAAAGATCATACACCATGATCAAGTGGGATTTATACCAGGGACACAGGGATGGTTCAACATGCGCAAATCAATCAGTGTGATAGAGCACATTAACAAAACGAGGAATGAAAACCATATGATCATCTCAATAGATGCAGAGAAGGCTTTTGACAAGATCCAACATCCATTTATGATAAAAACTCGCAACAAAATGGGTATAGAAGGAAAGTGCCTTAACATAATAAAGGCCGTATACGACAGACCCACAGCCAACATCATACTCAATGGGGAAAAACTGAAACTCATCCCCCTGAAAACAGGAACAAGACAAGGGTGCACACTCTTGCTGCTCTTATTCAACACAGTACTGGAGGTTCTGGCCAGAGCAATTAGGCAAGAAAAAGGAATAAAAGGAATCCAAATTGGCAACGAAGAAGTGAAACTCTTGCTGTTTGCAGATGACATGATCTTATATATAGAAAACCCTAAAGAATCCATTGGAAAACTGTTAGAAATAATCATCAACTGCAGCCAAGTTGCAGGGTACAAAATCAACTTAAAAAATCAGTTGCATTTCTATATACCAACAACGAAGTAACAGACAGCTCAAGAAGACAATTCCATATTCAATTGCAACAAAACGAATAAAATATCTAGGAATAAATTTAACCAAGATAGTGAAAGACCTATACAATGAAAACTGTAAGACGTTATTGAGTGAAATCAGTGATGACATAAAGAAATGGAAAAATATTGTATGCAG